CAGATGGCAAAATTATACTAGTGGGGGGCCTCAACCTCCCTCTCTGACTAGATAAATCTAACCACAAAATAAACAAGAAAGTTAAGGAGGTGAATAGAATTAGAAAAGTTAGGTATGATAGACCTCTGGAGAAAATGAATGGGGATAGAAAGCAATATACTTTTTTCTCGGTGGTACATGGCACATACACAAAAACTGACCATGTACTAGGGCATAAAAACCTCACAATCCAATGCAGAAAGGCAGAAATATTAAATGCATCCTTTTCAGATCATGATGCAATAAAAATTACATATAATAAAGGGTCATGGAAAGATAGACTGAAAAATAATTGGAAACTAAATAATCTAATCCTAAAAAAATTGAATGGGTCAAACAACAAATCACAGAAATAATCAATAACTTCATTCAAGAGAATGAAAATAATGAGACAACATACCAAAACTTATGGGATGCAGCAAAGCAGTTCTTAGGGGAAGTTTTATATCTCTAAATGCTTACATAAATAAAGAAAGAGGAGATCAATGAATTGGGCATGCAACTAAAAAAGCTAGAAAAAGAACAAATTAAAAATCCTCAATTAAAAACCAAATTAGAAATACTGAAAACCAAAGGAAAACTATTGAACTAATAAATAAAACTAAGAGCTGGTTTTATGAAAAAACCAATAAAATAGATAAACTTTTGGTTAATTTAATTAAAAAAAAGAAAGAAGAAAACCAAATTACAAAATGAAAAGGGAATACCACCAAGGAAGAGGAAATTAAAACAATAATTAGGAATATTTTGCCCAACTGTATGCCAAAAATTTGACAATCTTAGTGAAATGGATACATATTTACAAAAATATAAATTGCCCAGATTAACAGAAGAGGAAGTAAAATACTTAAATAACCCCATCTCAGAAAAAGAAATTGAACAAGCCATTGATGAACTCCCTAGGAAAAAATCTCCAGGGCCAGATGGATTTACATGCGAATTCTATCAAACATTTAAAGAACAATTAATTCCAATACTATATAGACTATTTGGGAAAATAGGTGAAGAAGAGTCTTACCAAATTCTTTTTATGATACAAATATGGTGCTGATACCTAAACCAGGAAGAGTCAAAACAGAGAAAGAAAATTATAGACCAATTTCTCTAATGAATATAGATGCAAAAATTTTAAACAAAATATTAGCAAATAGATTAAGCAACTTATCACAAGAATAATACACTATGACCAGGTAGGATTTATACCAGGAATTCAGGGTGGGTTCAATATTAGGAAAACTATCAGCATAATTGATCATATCAACAACAAATACAAACAGAAACCACATGATCATCTCAATAGATGCAGAAAAAGCTTTTGACAAAATACAACACCCATTCCTATTAAAAACACTAGAGAACATAGGATAAATGGAGTCTTCCTTAAAATAATAAATAGCATCTACCTAAAACCTTCAGCAAGCATTATATGTAATGGGGACAAGCTAGAAGCATTTCCAATAAGATCGGGGTGAAACAAGGATGTCCATTATCACCACTGTTATTCAATATTGTACTGGAAACGTTAGCTTTAGCAATAAGAGAAGAAAAAGAAATTGAAGGTATTAGAATAGGCAAAGAAGAAACAAAGCTATCACTCTTTGCAGATGACATGATGATATACTTAGAGAATCCTAGAGAATCAAGTAAAAAACTACTTGAAATAATAAACAACTTTAGCAAAGTTGCAGGCTATAAAATAAACCCACATAAATCAGCATTTCTATATATTACCAACAAAGCCCAACAGCAAGAGATAGAAAGAGAAATTCCATTTAAACTTACTGTAGACATTATAAAATATTTAGGAGTCTACCTCCTGAAACAAACCCAGGAACTCTATGAACACAATTACAAAACACTTTTCACACAAATAAAATCAGATCTAAATAATTGGAAAAACATCAGTTGCTCATGGGTAGGCCGAGCTAATATAATAAAAATGACAATTCTACCTAAGCTAATTTACTTATTCAGTGCCATACCAATCAAACTACCAAAAAATTATTTTATAGAGTTAGAAAAAATAATACAAGATTCATTTGGAAGAACAAAGGTCCAGAATATCAAGGAACTAATGAAAAGAAATGCAGGGAAGGTGGCCTAGCATTCCAGATCTTAAATTGTATTATAAAGCAGCAATCATCAAAACTGCTTGGTACTGGCTAAGAAATAGAGTGGTGGATCAGTGGAATAGGTTAAATATGCAAGACACAGTAGTCAATGACTATAGTAATCTACTATTTGATAAACCAAAGACCCCAGCTTCTGGGATAAAACTCACTTTGAAAAAAACTGCTGGGAAAACTGGAAAAGAGTATGGCAGAAACTAGGCATAGACCCAAATCTCACACCATATACCAAAATAAAGTCAAAATGGGTTCATGATTTAGATATAAAGGCTGATATTAAAGCAGAACAAGGAATAGTTTACCTATCAGATCTATGGAGAACAGAAGAATTCATGACCAAACAGAGAAGAGAACATTAAAAAGCAAAAATTAATTTTGATTACATTAAATTGAAAAGTTTTTGCACAAACAAAGCCAATGCAACTAAGATTAGAAGGAAGGTAGAAAATTGGGAAAGAATTTTTACAACCAGTCTCTCTGATAAGGCCTCATTTCTAAAATATATAGAGAATTAAGACAAATTTATAAGAATACAAGCCATTCCCCAATTGATAAATGGTCAAAGGATATGAACAGCAGTTCTCAGATGAAGAAATTAAAGCCATCTATAGTCATATGAAAAAATGCTCTAAATCATTATTGATTAGAGAAATGCAAATCAAAACAACTCTGAGGTCACATCACACCTATCAGATTGGCCAACATGACAAAACAGGAAAATGATAAATGTTGGAGAAGATGTGGGAAAATTGGAACACTAATGCATTGTTGGTGGAGTTGTGAAATGATCCAACCATTTTGGAGCAATTTGGAACTATGCCCAAAGGGCATAAAAATGTGCATACCCTTTGACCAGCAATAGCACTTCTAGGGCTATATCCCAAAGAGATCACAAATGGGAAAAGGACCCACATGTACAAAAATATTATAGCAGCTCTTTTTGTGGTGGCAAAGAACTGGAAATTGAGGGGATGCCCCTCAATTGGGGAATGGCTGAACAAGTTGTGGTATATGAACGTAATGGAATACTATTGTGCTATAAGAAATGATAAGCAGGTGGACTTCAGAAAAACCTGGAAAGACTTGTATAGACTGATGCTGAGTGAAGTGAGCAGAACCAGGAGAATGTTGTACACAGTAACAGCCACGTTGTGTGATGACTTGATAGACGTCTTTTGCCATGCAAGGATCTAAGACATCTCCAAAGGTCCTATGATGGAAAATGCTATCCACATCCAAAGAAAGAACTATGGAGTTTAAATGCAGATCGAAGCATACTATTTGCTATTTTTTTCTTCTGTTTTGTTGTTTCCTCTTTCTCGTGGTTCCTCCTATTGGCTCTAATTCTTCCTTACAACATCATTAATGTAAAAATATGTTTAATAGGAATGTATCTGTACAGCCCATATCCGATTGCACACTGTCTTGGGGAGGGAAGAAAAATTTGAAACTCAAAAGCTTATGGAAGTAATTGTTGATAAATCAAAATAAATTAATTAAAAAAAATAAAATCAACATGTCCAAAACAGAAATCATTATCTTTCCCCCTAAGCCATCCCCACCACCTATCTTCCCTATTATTTATAGAACAACTCCACCCTCTCTGTCCCTCAGATTCCTCATTATCTTTCAGTCCCCCTCCCCAAAAACCAGTCTGTTGCCAGGGCCTATCTATCTCACTTCTACAACATTTCTTGAATATGTCCCCTTCTCTCCTCTGACACTTCTATCACTCTGTTGCAGGCTGTCCTCACCTCACACTTGGACTATTACAATAGTCTACTGGTAGGTCTGCCTGCCTCAAGTCTCTACCCAGTCCAATTTATCCTCTATTCAGCCACCGAAGTTATTTTCCTAAAGCACAGTTATGAACATGTCAACCCTCTACTCTCCTTCCTATCTTTGTGTCATCTGTAAATCTGAAAAGCATGACATCTATGTCTCCATATGTCACTGATAAAAATGCTGAAGAGCAGGAAGCCATGGGCGAATTTCTGGGGCACTTAACTAGAGTGCTCCCTTTATTTTTTATTTAATCTCTTTTCTCCTTTCCCTGCTAATCAGAATTGGTGCTTCTCTGTCTCAACGATCTCTTTTGTCAAAGATGGCTTAAAATCTAGTCCTAATGAAGTTAGGAATAGATTTATTGCTTATCATGTCTGCCTCTACATGACAAAGTCCATGGGGTTTTCTTGACAAAGATACTGGAGTTCTTGCCTTTTCCTTCTCTAGTGTGTCCCCATTTTACAGATAAGAAACTGAGGTAAACAAGGGTTAAGTGAGTTGCTCAGTATGACACTGCTAATAAGTGTTTGAGGACAGATTTGAACTCAGATCTTCCTGACTCCAGGCCTGGTGGCTCTATCCATTGTATTACCTAGGAGGCCAGGGATAGACTAGATGACTCCTAAGTATTGAACGCTTTCACTTCACATTTCTAGGATCTCTAAACAAAACCAGTATGGAAACCTAAAAGTCAAACTCCATGAATTCAAGTCCCTGAAAAGGGAGTTAATTACGGATTCTCGTGCTCAATATTACTTATTTATCTGTTCTCATAAAAAACAGCAGGAAAGATGAAAGATATATGATCTCACTTGTAGTGAGCAGTTATAACTCTTTACAGAATCTCAGAGTAAATTATGATAAATAATCTAGTCAATAATTGATGTTACTATTTACTCATTACTTTAAAGAAAGTTATTTTGATAAAGAGGACTTTCACTAGAACAAAACTGCTATAAATTTGTGGAATTCATGAAACTTATACTCTACTACAACTTTTTAGCAAACCATTCTCCCCCACATGTCGCAGGATTAATCAGAACATACCTCTGAACCAATGGTAAGGGAAGAAAATTGAGTGTCGAAGTCATATCCAGCCCACAATCTAACATGATGGTAGTAGACTTGAATTTGAGCACATTGCATGGTAGAGTCGGGTGTCCTGATAAACAGTACTGAAAGAAAAATAAATGTGGTCATTAATAAACCACTGCAAAGTTCCAAACCATAAAACAAATTATTAGAAATTACTTGCTCTTGTGGTAGTACCTTAAAGTACAGCCCAAAAAATCACCCATGCCTGTGAAAGCCTTCCCAACTTTGACAACTGTCTGTGACTCAGCAACTCAGAACACACAAGTTCTAGTACATGCAGAATATTTACATCTGCTCCAAATGTCCCTTGGAGAAGATAAACCTTTTGTTGAGTAAAAAGTTCCTTTAAAAAGGACATTGTTTGAGATGAGATAGCTAAGCTTTGTTTATCTGTTTCATCTCATCTGAACTTCCAGATATTTGATATAGTAGCTACAAAGTGCTATACAAAGATTCTTTGAGAGTTTTCAATTTGTGTTCTAAACCTAGCCTTTGGATTGTGACATCCATATTAGGCTTAATTTCTCCTTTTGTAAAATAATGGGAAAAGTGGCTTTCTTTAATGAGATCTCCTAAAGAGATCCTCCTGAAGATTCCTTAAAGTGGAGATGAACCTACCCTCTGGGTGAGTAGGTTAATTAGCAAGCATCAATATAGCATTATGGCATAACATTCTTCATAAAAATGATTCAGAAGGACAAATGTCTTCTTGTGAACTACTGATATCAAGGAGGAAGGAGCATGAGTTGCCTACACTTTGACAAGAGCAAGCAGAAGTCACTTGTCTGTGGCAGAAAGAATACAAAATAAATGAGGCGTCTAAAGTCTAAATCCTAAAAGCCGTAATTATAGACAAAGAACAATGATGACACAAAATAATACACTAATCTAAAACATTTCTTTAGTGCGCTGTGCTAGATAGGCCAAAAAGATCATTATTTTTGTGAATAACACCTTCCCTTTTTTACTTACAGGTTTTCTTATTTTGGAGACAGGTATAGCTTACGTATATATAGCACTTTCACATGTAAGTTTGCACTTGTATATGAGAAAGGAAAAAAAAAGAAAACTCCTGCCTGAGTTGTTCAGCATAGAAAGTCAAAGAGTTTATCCTCTTGTTTCCTTGACAGGTACATTAATTTATTTTGATTTAAGCACAAGTATATCATGAGTGAAAATAACTGTACAGCAATGTCTAGCTTCATATGCTAACAGTATGCTGTGCTAAGGTTTCCTAGTTATTTGTTATTGTGTTTTGCCATTAGTAAGAAATTCTTCACTTTTCTTTGGCGAACAATTTCAGTAACTGGTAAAAACTTAAACTAAGAAATTATGAAGAAAGTATGCTTTATAGCTTCCCTACTTCCCAAACAAGCTAATTATTTCAGTAATCACCACAATTTGGAGATCACACAGATACTAGCTGTGTGAAACTGGACAAATCACTTAACTTCTGTCTGCCTCAGTTTCTTTATCCATAAGATGGGAATAATAACAGCATATATCTCTGAGGGTTGGCGTGAGGATAAATTGCGATAATGTTTGAAAAGTGCTTTGTGAACCTTCAAGTACTCTATAAACACTAGCTATTAAGTTATTAATCTCTGTATTTTAGTTTTCTGTTCTCTTGCTCTGATTTATACATTCTCCTTTAAACAGAAGAAAAGTCATTATGTACACCCCAAAGAAGCAGATGATTACTGAGTTAATGAAAATCTTCACTGTATACATCTAAAATCTGTCACATTTATTGCCAAAAATCCTTAAGTTCCTTAGTTTTTTCATCTGTAATAGGAGCTGGACTAGATGGCCTATAAGGTCTCTTACATTGCTAAATCTAAGATCTCATGACTATGATCCCTGACTATTACAGTAAAATCTTGGTTAAAGGACTATATATCATAGGCTGCTGGTGAACAAAGTCCTAAAGCCCCCAAGATCTCCTCATAAGAATTGCCTGTGTACAGTCTTTGAGTTGAGAAGTCAGTTCAAAAGACTACATATGACAGTTTGCTTGTACACTATTATATAGCTATACAATGCTTTTACACAAATTATTTTATCTGATTTTCAAAAACTTGTGAGGACTATGGCGATACTATCTTCAATGAAGGTAAATCAAAGAAACTGAAGGTCCCTAAGCTCAAGCTTTGCCTAAGGTTGCAATTAACTAGTAAGTGGCAGAATTAAACCTGGATCAAAAAGTCTAGTGCTATTTCCAATTATGCTAGTACTGCCGTGTTTTAAGAGTCATCTAGGGATGCAGAGTGAGAAATCTACAGTCTAGGTCAATTGTAATTCAATAAATACTTACCAATTACTTTCTGTAGCAAGAAGCAATATAGTATAGTGGCTAAGGAACTGGTCTTTTTTTTAAAAGCAAGACCCGAGTTCAAGTTCTGCCTTTGTGATTTTGGGCAAGTCACTTAATCTTTCAGGACTCTAGGCAATTCTCTAAGACTATTAAGTCTTAGAGAACTAAGAACATCCTGACTGACTTACACTGTTGTTACTGTTCAGTGGTGTTCAAAATTCTTTGTGACCCATTCGGGGTTTTCTTGCAAAGATACTGGAGTGGTTTGCCATTGCCTTCTCCAGACCATTTTACAGATAAGAAAACTGAGGCAAACAGGGTTAAGTGACTTGCCCAGGGTCACATACCTAGTGTCTGAGGTCAAATTTGAACTCCAGGCTACTTAAACTCCACTTTAGCTACTGCACCACCTAGCTGCTCCGCCTGACCTACGTAGGTAGAGGCAATTTCCACACCTGGGATTTCCTCATACTGAGGAAATTAAAGATCCAATATGCTGTATCTAATTCATTTAATAAACTGTGCTAAGCAATACAAGGCATGGAATTAAGGATAAGACTTGATTCTTGTCTCCATGAAGATTATAACTTAGCTGGAAAAAAGATATAAATATGTAAAAAGTTAAACTATATATGTTTTACATACACATATGGTAGATGTTTTAAAAAACTGAAAATTTAAAGCAACTTTACAGTCAAAAAGAACATAATTATATTATAAACTCACATCACTCCAAATTCTCTTCCAATCTGGTTAATGAATACATAGTATGTACACACAATTATAATTATCTTTATGCTGTTTTTAACCTCCACAAATATATAAGCATTTCCATGTATTATCATAACTTACATAACTAATTTTTCATAGCTGTAATGTATCTCATTAGGTTAACACAACATTGGCTACTTTCCTATTGTTAAAATCTGCAGTGTGATTTTTAAAAAAAGTAATACTGTTATGAGCATTCTTTATATATAACTTTTCTTTCCTTTTGAATATCTCCTAGGGATATAGTCTTCTAAGTGGAGTTAATGGCTCATAGGGTATGTGCAATTGTTTGGCTCTTGGCACAAGGATACACACACACACACACACACACACACACACACACACACTGTTTACTAGAAAGATGAAATCAATTTATTGTGTTACAATACATGTATACATGTTTCTCTATTGCCAGCCCTGATAACACTAAGGTTAATAACTGTAACTTAATAGTTTAATAAGTATATAATAGTATCTTTAATTCACCTCAATTTAAATTTCTTTAAATATTAATAAGGACATGCCTTTAAAGTTTTTCTTTTATTGAGAATATAACCTAAAAACACAAATATTTTAATATACAAAGAACAAACACTGAAAAAGAAATTGTAAATGTCTGTTATATAATCTTAAAAATATCACCAAAATGGGTACATAATTTACACACAAAGGGTGATGCCACAATCAAATTAGGAAAGCAAGTAATAGTTTTCCTATCAGACCTATGGAGAAGGGAAGAATTTATGGCCAAACAAGAGACAGAAAGCATAACGATTAAAAAGTCTTTATACAAACAAAACCAATGCAACCAAGATTTAAAAAGCAGAAAGCTGGGAAACAATTTTTACAGCAAGTGTCTCTGATAAAGGCCTTATTTCTCAAATATATAGAGAAATGAGACAAATTTATAAGAATACAAATCATTCCCCAATTGTTAAATAGTCAAAAGATACGAACAGGGAATTTTCAGACAAAGAAATCAAAGCAATCTATGGTCATAAAAAATGTTCTAAATCATTATTGATTAGAGACATGCAAATTAAAACAACTCTGAGGTACCACTTCACACCCACCAGATTGGCTAATATGACAGAAAAGGAAAATAATAAATATTGGAGAGGATGTGGAAAAACTGGGAGCTGTGAACTGATCCAACCATTCTGGAGAGCAATTTGGAATTATGCCCAAAGGGCTATAAAACTGCATACCTTTTGATCCAGCAAAAGAGATCCAGCAAAGAGATCATAAAAATGGGAAAAGGACCCACATGTACAAATATATTTATGGCAGCTTTTTCTGTGGTGGCAAAGAATTGGAAATTGAGGGGATGCCCATCAACTTGGGAATGGGTGAACAAGTTGTGGCATATAATTGCAATATAATATTACTATGCAATAAAAAATGATGAGCAGGGGGCAGCTAGGTGGCGCAGTGGATAGAGCACCAGCCCTGGAGTCAGGAGGACCTGAGTTCAAATCTGGCCTCAGACACGTAACATTCACTAGCTGTGTGAATCTGGGCAAGTCACTTAACCCTCACCCTCCCCTCCTCCCCCCCAAAATGATGAGCATACTGATTGCAGAAAAACCTGAAAGGATTTATATGAACTGATGCAAAGGGAAGTGAGCAGAGCCAAGAGAACATTAGACACAGTGACAACAATACTATATGATGATCAACTGTCAATGACTTAACTATTCTCAGCAACATAATGATCCAAGACAATCCTAAAGGATTCATGATGAAAAAATGCTATCCACCTTCAGAGAAAGAACTGATGGAGTCTGAATGCAGATCAAAGCATACTATTTTTCACTTTCTGTATTTTTTGTGTTTTTTTTTCCCCTTTTGGTTCTGTATCTTCTTTCACAACATGACTAATGTTGTAACATGTTTTATATAATAGAGCATGCATAACCTATATTAAATTGCTTACTCTCTCAGGGAGTGAGGGAGAAAGAAAATTTGGAACTCAAAAAGTTTTTTTAAAAAAAT